GTGTAGCGTATATATGTCTAATTTGTGGATACCAGCTGATCCTTTGTACACATTCCGTATACGGGGTTTGTACACGAGTTCCCTCTCATCGAGGACAAGCTCGAACACTGTCTTGTCGTCTTCGACGATGCGTTTCTTAACTGGGAATCGTACAGTTCATTCCTTTTTTCCTCTACATCCGTCCGTGTTACTGTTTCGATAATTATCGTTACCTTCGATCGAGATAATTGCAAGTAAATCGTCCGACGGGGGAAGTCGATCGGTAAATTCTTGCAATGCGATGCAACGCGGAAGATTCGTCCGATTTCGGAGAAAGAGTGTCGCGACAGCGGAGTTTACGTTCGTCGCGTCAAGCTTACGAACTTGTCGCGCGTCCGTTTCTTGGGTGATCGATATCGGTGGACAGACTTAGCGGAGAAACGCTAAAGTCGACCGACCCGTGGTCAAGACTGTTACAAAAGGAGGCATCGGCCTCGCCGATAAATAAAGGAAGGGGGGAAGTGTCAAACTTTCGAATCAGACCGAGTAGTGGTACTACAGCAATATGGAATAAAAGCGACACTCGTAGCTTCAGTATGACGTTTTGCAACTGATACTGATAAGTCGTACACGTCAGGCCGACCTCGAACGAATGTCATTATTTTTATTGCACTCGTCTAATGAATCCCGAGTCGGCGGCCAAGTAATTATAGCAAGTCGACTGATACACTTAACTGTAATAATTTCTCGCATTCTGCCCGGTCGTGATTATCTGCTCGTTATTTTCCGATAAGAGTGCTTTCCTCGCTCGAATCTCGATGTAATATTTTAAGACGTATTTCTCTCTCTCTCTCTCCCCCTTTTTTCCTTCATCGTTTTATTCTGTTCCGTACATCGAGCACGATAATGAAAATTCGCGTTACGTTAATATATCCCAAGAATGACTCTAAGTCGCTTTGAATCGATATAATTTTAGAGTCGACGTATTTCCGTGTAGCTAGATGTCCGATGCTCGATAGCACCGGTGGCTCTGTTTCAGACTTATATCGTTGAACTGGAAAATTAAGGATACATTTGTTTTTTCTTTTTTACCTTCAGTCATTGCTACATTGTTTTTCGATTTGTTTCATCATTCTGGAAACTGGTAAACTTTTGGTTATTTTTTGATCTTTTTTGGACGATTCGTGCCTTTCTTTAACCCCTTCCCTATCGAATTCATTGCTGCCTTGGGAAATAAAATTCTTCATTTTTTTCTTTTTAATCGAGAGTAATCAATTTTTTTTATAATTGTTTGATCCCAACGGTGATAAACACACACTAACAAATCATCGAACTTTCATTCGATATTTCGTATGCAAAATGGAAAAGGAAAGCGATAGAAATGAAACTGAATTTTCACAAAGAAGTATTGTTACAAAATTACGAGTTGTTCGCGGACCACAGCAGTCAACTGTACTTTTGGAATTTTTTAAAACTCTGGTACCAATTTTGGAACAAATTTCTTTTGACCATGGAATAATAAGTTATGATTATTCCAATGATACGCTGTATTTTATGCGTTCTGCCTAGGTAAACTACGCCTGAAACGATACATTCCACGACGTTTGCTCGAGTTTCATTTTCAAAAGGAACTTAAAAAAAGGAAACAACTATGCGCTGTTTTATTCGTGTTTCTAGTTTTTGTTTCGCTGAGCTAATACATTTGGCAAACAAGCGGCTCATTTGCGTTAATCCGGGACGTTTTAATCTCGACGGCGACAGTAACCAATTCCGCGGGATATACAGACCTTCGCGGTAGTGCAAGGATTAAGTACCAAACTTATTACTCACGCCGAGTGCTATTTACCGATTCGCGGACAAAGTTGTTGTTCCGAGAGTAGAAGGCGAGAGGCGCGATAATCATGAATCAAAAGAGAAGCAAGTGTCTAGCGGTTGGGGGAGAGATAAAGCGCGAGATGTCGCGGAATTATCGTTAAAATTTGGGAGCCGCGAGGCAAACAGAAGCAAACACGTCGCCGTTCTCGACCAGGGAATCTCGTTTGAAATCGGGCCGTAGCTTTTTCACTGAGAATTTTCTCTCTTTCTGTCACGCGTCTCGACTAACAGCAAAAGCGGAAGCCGCGGGAAGGTGAAACGAGGCGAAAGCTCGGCATGTCTCCGGTTCCGGCGTTCTTTCGCGCCTGCTGATAATTGTAACAACCTCTGCGGCATAACGAACCAGCCTTTTAAGAAGGATACCAAACCCGGCGAAGGGGAGGAAGCAAGCAGACAGTTTGCGCGCCTTCGGGATGAACTCTGTGTCAAATACACACAGAGGGCTGCGCGTGCCCTCGTATATTTTCTTTCTATTCGTTTTTTTTTAGGAAGAGAAAGACGAATGAAAAGAAAGTCGAGAGGAATCCACGAGGAACCTCGAATGTGACGATGAAATTAGTAGATGGTTCTTTGTGTCGTTGTTTCATCCGTAGTGATAAAGCTTTCGTCATCCAAGTATTTCTTATTTTTGATTGGGTCTTACGCGCACGAAGGTAGAGAAAGAATGTAGAGAAAGACAGAAAGCAATAATACTAAACTGGTAGTACGTTGTATTGCTCGCTAAACTAATCATCGTAAAACGGGATGATGGTCGAATCAGACACATTAAACCTGTCGATGTGAACGGGCGTAATAGCCGCAGCGGTAACTAGCAATTATCGCGATGGGCGCGACAGGCTCGTTGCTTACAGTTTAACGGACGGCTGGTGACGTCTTAAATTTTCGCAGTGCAGGCGACTGCCTGCCCTCGAGACGGTCCCCTCGTCAAAGATCAAACGTCGAGAACGTTGGAGAATTTCAAAAGAAATGGGAATCTTCGTTCGTAAGTAGAGCTTAAAAAGTTGAATCGTCCGAAGTTTCGTAGCTTCGTATCGTTGCAACGATTCTCGTCTCAACGAAGGTTGAACGATGTCCTGTTGGAAAACATACGAAGAACGGGATCCTCCCGAAACGCCTCGCCCTACTTGGGCTCTTCTTTTTTCCTTCGACCTACAATCGCCGTGTGTGTTGAAGGTGTGTGCACGAAAGGCTCTCGAAATTGGCTCACCGTCCGCGTTCGTCCAAAATTTCAAGCGCTCCGGCTTTGATTCGCCTCGATATAGGATACCATCGAAAAGGCCGACGAAAAGGGTGATCCGCGCGTCCGTCCGTTTCGAACGCGAAACCGACCTGATAAAACGGGATTCGGTTGCCCGCGATTTGCCAACTTCTCGTTGCCTCCCCTCTCCTCAGTGCTCGTGATTGCACAGCAGCAGAGAGCGAATCGTTGAAGCGACGTTGCGAAGGAGAACACATTGGCGATCACAGGATGATGGAGACGACACCCGGTATATGTGGATTCGTAGCGTAGAGTTGTAGAGTCGACTCTCCGATATCGAGCGGGAGTTACTCGAGCTTACACGTGCGCAGGCTCCCACCTCTACGATCTACCACCTCCAGCGCGTGCCGAGGATGGGGAGGAATTTCGAGAGGAACGAAGAGGAAAGTAGGGTGTACGTGGTAGTGGCGAGTGAAAGGACGAATATCAGGGCAAACGGGGTGGGGCAGGGGGGAGGGAGGGGTGGCTTCTTCGCTGGCCACGGGGCGAAAGGGGCAGGAGGCGCAAGGGATGCAAGAGAAAGAGCGGCAACAAGAGAGAGACAGAAGAGGAAGAGAGTAGAGAAAGAGCAAGAGGTCGAAACGAGTGGAAAAAGGAGAAACCGGTGGGATACCGTCAAAGTGCAAGTGGGACACGCTACGTTGGCGAGAGCGAGACTGCGACAGGGTGGAGTATAGGGTGTAGAACGAGAGGGTAGACACGATTCAGCGTGTGCTTTGGAGAGAGGAACGACGAGGACGAAAGGGTGAAAAGCTGGGAGAAGGACGGAGAGGTTAGAACGACGAGGAGAAGAGTACGACCGAGGGAGGATGGCGAGAAGGACGGAGGACGTCCAATGTCGATGAAGGAGATGGAAGAAGCTGATGCGAGCAGCCACGTTGCGAGAACGGCAAGGAAGAGACGAGAGGAAGAAAGAGAAACAGAGAAAGTTCGTGGGACAGTGTAAAGCGAAAAGGAGACGGACGCAAGAGGTGGGCGAGGAGAGCGGACAGCGGCGGAAGGCGGGATAAAGAGGGCAACGTGGTAGCAAGGTGGTGGAAAAGGTGGGTGGGAAGGGTGGAGGGAGCAAGTCGCGAGAGAGGAACGGAACGGAACAGGGTTGTTCCAGTGTGCAGCAGGCGGGCATCGCGGCGGGGGCGCCGTTCTGCTGCTCCTGTATATCCATCCAGGATTATATGCACCATCCATCGCATCCTAGCGACCACGACGGCGACGGCGACGACGACGACGACGACGACAACGACGACGACGACGACGACGACGACGGCGACGACGCCGCCGGGAAGCAGGAGGAAAAGAAGAAGGAGGAGGAACAGGATATCCGGCGACATCGTTCGCATCGAAAGCTAGAGAGTGACTCTCCGCGACTAAACGACAGTATCTACGTTGTAGTAGCACCGATAGAGTTTTATTAGAAATCGCAGGACGCGTCGCGAACGTTTCCTCGTTACCGGCGTCTACGTTACCTGCGTCGTGAACGTTAGCCAGAGTGTCATTGCGTTTTCTTTCTTTTTTTTTTCCTGCGGAACGCACGACGAAACGCGCGTTGTCCGTTGTACGCCGAACAAGAGAGGACTCAGTGGCGAGGGAAGAAGGGCACGGAAGAGAGAGCGCAAGGAACACAAAACGGAAACGGAGACTGCGCGAAGAGAAAGGGAAGAGGAGAAAACGAGAGATAAAGCGGAAGAGAAGAAGAGAAGGAAGGGATAGTAGAGGGCGGAGGGAAGAAGAGAAAGGAAAAGAGAGAAGCAAGGGAAGAGGAAAGACGAAGGTAACCAAAGTGGTTAGGAACTATAATAATAATAAAAGAATAATAATAAGAATAATAATAATAGTAAAAGAAGAGAAGGTGGAATAACAAAGAGAAAGAAAGAAAAGTGAAAGGGTAGATCCATCCACTCGTCGGAGGGAGCCATCGAAGGTGGAGGAGCATGCGAGAGCAGCTCCTCGGTGTTTCAACATGACCCAGCCTTAGTAGGGTACCTCTGCTGGCGTACACCCTCCGCGCCGCGACACGATACGACACGCAGAAGGAGGTGGTGGAGGAGGCGGAGGTGGTGCCGGCGGAGGAGGCGGTGGTGGTGGTGGAGGCGGCGGCGGCCAGAGAGGTGGTGGAGGACGGGGGAGAGGAGGAGGAGGAGGAGGACGGAGAAGAAGAAGACGAAGGAGGAGAAGGAGGAGGAGGACGGTGGACTCGCTAACGACGGCGAACGTCCTCGAGGGTGCAAGATACCAGCACCAGCAACACCACCGACGACGATGATCGTGACAGGCGGCGAACGACGTACATGTTGGAGGAGGAGGCGCCGATTCGCGGTTGCGGTACTGGCCTCGGCCCTACTAACCTTAGCGATCGGTCCCGCGCCAACCGAGGGACACAGGCCAGCACCAAACAATCCGATCATTCTGCAGACGAGCACCAGCACGACAACTACGCCCTTCTACGTCCACTCGGTGAACGGTACCGTCTTACCGAATGCCAACTACAACAACAACAATGAGTTGGATCCATACGGGGGGGAAGACGGATACAACAGTACCATCCATCATCACCATCATAAGAAAGTCGGCGCTAACATGACCGAGGAGAAGGCGCCTCTCTTTCCCAGTGATCTCTTCACCGTCCAGCAACGGCAACGCGGTGCCGTGATACTTCACGTAATGGGTGTAGTGTACATGTTTGTCGCGTTGGCGATCGTTTGCGACGAGTTCTTCGTGCCGTCTCTGGACGTGATCATTGAGAAACTCGAGATCGCCGACGACGTTGCGGGTGCTACTTTCATGGCGGCCGGTGGTTCGGCCCCGGAACTCTTCACATCGATAATCGGCGTGTTCGTGTCGTTCGACGACGTCGGTATCGGTACCATCGTCGGTTCGGCCGTCTTCAATATTCTCTTCGTGATCGGCATGTGCGCTATATTCTCGCGTACCGTGCTCTCCCTCACATGGTGGCCTCTATTTCGCGACTGCACTTTTTATAGCGCCAGTCTGATCACCCTGATCTATTTCTTCCGTGATAATTATATTCACTGGTACGAGGCCCTCGTGCTCTTCGGATTCTACTTGGCTTACGTGAGCTTCATGAAGTGGAACCAACCGATGGAGAAGCTGGTCAAGAGAGTGATCTATAGAAACAAGGTGACCCGGGTCAGGTCTACCGATCAGCTGATGCCCTCGGTATGTACACTGTTTCAAACGCAAACGGTATGCACACGACAACGAAAACGCGATACACCTATTTTTTTTCTCTCTCTCTTGAAAAAGAAAGAAAAACTTCCAGACGATCCGAGACAAATCCTTTTTTTTTTCTTTCTTTCTTTTATCCACCTTCTTCACGCGTTTTCTTACCTACCTCGAATCGATCTACCTACCTACCTACCTACCTTCCCTACCTTCCACGATCGTTGGATCACTCGTTACTCGCCCGCATGTACCATGCCGTTTTGTCCTTATTGTTAGACGAAAGTCGCGTGACTTTGCCTACTCGCACGGCTACTCGTGGGCGGTGTTTTGTCCCGTTGACGGACATTACCACGTTCGCTCTCTTATCGGCCGCACTTTTCCCTTTTCCTTTTTCCCTCTCCCTCGTTTCATCGGCGCTGCTGATCGAACCTGCTGATCGAGCATCGAGAACGCACGACATTGGCCACGTTACCGATCATCGTGTATCCTCTCTTGTCCTCCATCTCTCTTATCTTCGATTCTCCTCGTGTCTTTTGACTGCCTTTAATCGAACGATTAAAATTTTAGCGCCGACCCTTCCTCGTGACTATAACTACGGTTATAGGCCTCTGCACACTGTATAATTAATTAGAAAATCGGGATTTTCGAGTATCGATCGGGATGGGTTTACCACCGTCTCATCGATTCGTTACTCTCCTCGATACTACTCTCTCCGTTGTATCGCGGATGGAGAAAGACAAGTCGACACGGCCTCGGAAAATCCGCCCGTTTCCGAGAACTAGGTGAAAACGGAGATTCAGCACGATGAAAATGCTTGACTTTGGACCATCGCGTGCTCTTGATATCATCCGCGCTTTTTTTTTTTTTTTTTTTTTCCTTGCACAAGGTCGATCTCGACGAATAAATTGAAGCGAAAAATCCCGATGCGCCAAAGATGGCCCAATTACGCGTGTCACGTTCAACGGAGCGTACTTAATTAACACACTTGCACACACGTTCGCTCTCTTTCTTTTCGGATGTGGAAATTTCAGTTTGTTTAATTTCACCAGCATTGTTGAAACGCGGGACGTGTCTCGCGAAACGTTTCACTTCTGTTGAGCGATGATCGGAGCGAGGTATCGCGCATTATAAACGATTACGCGACCGATTCTGTTTAATTGAAACTTTTGCCTCGCTTCTGTATGCTAGATACGATTCGCACGCTCCATTACGCGCGTCACACACACGGAAAACAAAACAAAAAAGAAAAGAAAAGAAGAAAAAAGAGGAAGAAAAAAGGAAATAAATGCTTCGACATGAACTTCGACGGTGAACGTTGGCTGGAATTTATAGCTTCGATCGACGGGTTTGTAAACGCTAATAAATCAATCGGTTCGAATCGAATTCCTCGCGACCGAAAGTAATTTATCCTGGCCAAGGACCGAAATTTGGACTCATCGAGGGAACGTTGGCCAACCAATCGATCGTCGGCCAGCGGAGTCGAGCGATCGCGGAGAACCGGGAGAGTCAGTCTCGAGCCGAGAGAAGTCAAGGGGAAGTTGATTATCGAGGAGACACGCTTCACCGTCATCCAGGATTTCCTTCGTGGAGAAACGTCGCCAAAGAACGGAAAAAAATATTTTTCGATCGTGTTCGTATTCCTCTGATGGCACAACTCTGCTCTTCTGTTTTCCTCTCGTTACTCGACGGTCGAAAGACACATTGGCGATCGACAATGTTTGAGAAACAATTGAAACAAAACTGGCTCTCTCGATTCTTCGTGATCCTCTTTGTCTTTTTCTTTTTTTATCAGTTTTAGAATTTCGAAAAACCACACTGATACTGTCGCTTAAAACGCGAGTTGCTCGCGTTATCGGAGAAACGTTGCATAATATTTCGCGTCGTGCAGTTGGTGTGTTTTCGCACGAACTTTCCCACTGACCGTCCCATGGTGTCTCGGGATTGTGCGCGAAAATTCGTTGAATTGGTCGCGCGGCAGGAAGATGGATCGTGCGCGCGCGGACTGTGACAACGTTAATTGCGTTATCAAGATCGTGTGTCGGGATAAAGGCGAGCGTTGTAGCAGTAGCGGCAATCGGGTGAACGCGAGCGATTCGCTGCCGTAAACGTAAACTCTCGACTCGTTTTCAATCAACGAGAAAAGTTATATCGGGATAGAAAATCGTCTCGCGGTTAATTACTCCATTCTCTGTACATTAGCTCTTCTCTCGCTGCATGCGCGCGCGTCCGCGAGTGATATTTTCATCGCGTGTCGGCCGACTCTCGGCATCGTTAATATCGCGAAATACCGAACCGTCGCTGTCAATCAGGCACAATATCGACGGCGCGAAATATAATTCTCTTATTGACACTGATTAGCGATTGCTGAAAACGGAAGCTCGACGCGTTAATGACTGCATAATTGCAATCGGAGATAGGACCGGCGATCGGAATTTACGTTCACCGTTTCGGATTAGGCGAAGTTTACGTTGGATTATTATATAGTCCGGTTACGAGAATTGTCACGCGTCCGTCTTTATTTATTTATACGTTGCGAGACGAGCGTGCGGCGTGTCGAAAATTTCGCGAACCAATACCCAATACCCGAACGTTCGATCGATTCGAACGTAAACCACCGGGGAGGTTCTTCGCGAAACGTTTCGAAAAGTTGAACAAACAATACGCGAAATTATCTTGCTTTGAGCAACTCAAGAGAAAGAAAGAAAGAGGGAGAGAGAGAGAGAGAGAAACGCCTACGACGCAATCGAAAGATTAAAGGTTTAATTAATGTACGATTCCTCTGGAGAAAAGGGGTAGAATTCGCTCTCGGATGACAACGGAGATCGGGATCGAATAACTCGGGTAAGAAAGAAAGTTCGCTCGTTGGTCCGACCGACGTTCATTGGTGTGCTTTCTCCTGTCTGTCCCATTTCCATTTCTTTCCCTCGATTGTCGACGCCGCGCCGTGGTGCTTCTTCTGACCTCCTGTGAAAATCTTCCTTCTCTGGGAAAGTTACGGCATTGCAGTGTGCAGAGGCCCTCCACCCATCGTCGAATCGATTCGACAGAGGCCCTTCCACGCTTAACCTCGCCACGACGATATACAACCACCGACGGGCCGAGCTCGTGCACGCTCTGCCTTCCTCCTCTTTGCGTTATATAAAACGTAACGTATGTACGTTGATCAACTGCACGCTCGAGTTGCTAGCAATTTGCCCTGCAAAATCGCCTGACTGACCTAAAGCTGACGGGAGCCTAAAGCGTTTTTCGAGAGTAACCCGGCGAACGTAACCGGCGCTAATAATATAATTAATCGACGAAGAGTCGTCTCGAGCGTTTCACCACGATGCTCGTTTTTTTTTTTTTTTTTTTTTTTTGCTCATCATTCGCGTCGAAAGAGAAAAAAACCTCGATTCATGGGGAAATCGTAAACGATCGTGGATTTGTTTGTTCACGAATTGAGAAATTAATCTTTTAACTTGGTTTAGTGCCAGTGTTGGAAAACAGTGCCATGGATATTGCGAAAAATGCCAAGCAATAAAAATAGATATTGCGCGTGGATTAGGTTCAATTGAAAGGGAAGTAATTGGGAGAGGGAGCTTCAATACGACTGACGACGATACGGCGCTATAATCTCATAAACCGTGCGCGTGATAATTTGATGATCGCGACCAAACGCTGTGTGGCACTATTCGACGCGAAATCTGACGCGACGGAGGCGCGCAGTAAGTTGATCACACCGCCTCGAACGGGCGAGATGAAGATCTCTCTCATCGGTGGGAGTATGGAAGAAATCCAGGGCGCGGCCTGTGTCACGCGAAGTGGCGCAGAGCAAATTGGATACCGTAACTTCGTCGCTCGTAAATTCGCGCTGATTCGTCGCGGAGAACAACGCTGTGTCGACGCGTACGAAATGTTTCCGCGAGAGAAGCAGAAACTCTCTCGTTGTGTATTAAGTTTGCTTCGAGTGTCTGGTATGTTTCTGGGAATTTCGAAAGTACGATAGCCTTTGCACCGTGAAGAAATCACGATCGTCCCCGATGTCAACAAAGGAAAAGGAATTTTCACGGGAAAATGAAAAACAGGAGTTTGAAGTCAATCGCACGTGCCCTGCTCTTGACGTTACATCGGTACAACCGCGATTATCTTTCATCTTCCAATCGGCCGTTTGTAGGGCACGTTGTATCGTTCGTTCGCTCCCGATTACCTAGATTTTTCTTTTCATTAGCGCGGTATGATGAAAAAGAAGACTCGAGGTATTAACGGTTTACGTTCGTACTAACCGATTCTCTGACCACGCTGGGAGGTGGGGAATCAGTTGAAAGTTTCATTTACTCTCCAATTAGGGATACCTAGCTCTCGGAATGAAGCGTAACTTTTTGATTAGATTTCTTTGGCTCGAAGTAATGCCGTTCGAATTATGGTTTGTTTCGCTTTGCGTACCATGTACAATTAACCGGTTTGTAATTAGGTTTGGGTTAGGTTCCTCCTTGGCAATTGTTTTCCCCGGAACGAAGATCGATGAATGAAACGCTCGAGTTAAAAAGTCTCGGCGAACAGTCGAACGGAACCTCTTATTCAGTTTAGCTTGGTAGCGCGATTGTTCGAAAATGCTGCTGGGAGGGGGGAGAGGAAAAAAAAAAGAAAAGGGAAAAATTGTTTCAATCCAGCGTCGCTTGTTTTTTCCCCGGGAAAAAAGGTATTTTCGTCTGCTAACGATAATGCGCGGCCGAGATTCTTTTGTTGAAATATCGATTCGCGGCTGGGAAATTCGTCCCGCTACCTTGACCAATGACATTTCCGCGCTTTCCAAAAATCAAGTGCCGATTTTCTTCTCAGCGAGTTCTTCTCCGTTCTCCACCGTTTTTGGAAGAACGATCCTACTCGCGAATATGCGATTTGTATAACGATCAATGTCGATCATCACCGGCGCACCGATCATCTAGAATCGAAATTTGCTTTTTGGAAATTAACAAAATTGACTTTGAATGTTTTAGACACGTATCCGTCCCGAATGTTTAGATATCTGTTCGAAAATAAGTATTGACACGGTCAGTGTTTAACGTGCAGATTTAAATAATTTCGTGATGAAAATTGGTTATCTTAAATCCTTTGATGAACAGGCAAAGAGTACAATATTTAAACATGGTTTACTATTTAAATTTAAGATACAGCGTAAAAGTTAGGTGTTTGACTTTGCTTAATGAAATTTCACAACGCATTATATATCTTATTCCAGTGTGCTTTAAAATATACATCATTTTTCTTTAACGATGACCTATATCAATTTGACTTGACCTACATTTGATGACCTATATTAATGGTGACCTATATTAATTGGATTTAACTTATATTATATTTACATATAATCTATATTAGTTTAATATTCTTTTGCCTGTCCATCGAAACATTGTTGTTTAACGTTCCTTTTCTTTGCTACGCTAAATCACTATACCATTATTGCGGTTTAGAACGTGCAAATTGATCTCTCGAACTGCCAGAACGAAGTTGCGATACACTGGATCTTGCCGATTCGCGATACGCTTCTGCATAAAAAGAGGACAGATGGGACAAAAGATGGAAGATGGAGGAGTTACGAAAGAAAAGAAATATATTCACGCGTCTTTCACCATAAAAGAGGGATGTCGTCGTCGATTGGAGGAATTCTGAAGATCGCACGACGATTTTCATAAATGTCAAGGGTCGCGCGACGCGAATAAAGAATAGAAATCGCGGCGATGGTGGGCAAATCGTTGCGGGTGGCCGAATCGAAAGATAATTCGGGCTAGGTTTGCTTTGATTTATCATTCGATTCGTCGAAGTTATTACGGCCAGGCGAGAAACTTCCGATCGGTTACATGGATCGCGGAGCGAGCACGGGTCAACATTCTGTCACTCTCTGTACACTCAGCTCGATATAAAAAACAGAAAGAAATTGGCAATACATCTGGACAAACTCGAACTTGTAACGTTGAATGCCGAAAACTTGTAACAGACTGTTACGTCGAACAGACGTTTTCAATGAAGAACAACCGCGACGTAGATATTCGTGTATATCGCTGGTGCGAATAATTGAAACGCGTTGACGGAGATGCCCGCGCAAAGTCCGCAACTTTTCCTAATTAAATTCGACGCGCGTTCTCACAGTTGAACCGATTTCGTTCTGATTCGCGCGACACACTCGCGAAGCAAAGTTACCGCGCGTAAACGAGGCGAGTTTTCGCTGGTCCTCGTTTTTGCACTGCCGCGCAAAAGCACGAGGACACTTGGCGTTTTCGATCGAAATCTACGAGAACACTGTCATTCTACGAGAGAAAAGAAAGAACAAAATTTTTCTATTTGAGATTTGTGTAATTTTCAAGAAAATCGAGGCTGAAAGTTTGGATAATTCTAGATCAGATGGCTAGATTAGCTTAATATAATTCTAGATTAGCTTCTAGATTAAATGACTTAATTTTACAAATCGTTCTATCATGACATGGGGATACTTTTGGAAGAGTTGTAGTATTTATCAAAATTATTTCAAAAAAACAGTACACTGCAAGAGAAGATTTCACGTTATTGTGATATTATCAATGAATTATTATTATTAAACGTCTCATTCATTCCAACTTATCAATGACATCAAATCACTTTTCTTCAGGCGATTGTAAAAAACCGAAAAAAGTGTTGGCATACTCTATCGAGCGGTGCTATAACTAACTAAACTTGACTCGTGCAAAAATGATGGACTCTTTGGTGCTGGGTCACCAAATATATACGACTGCCGCGGTGTATATATATATATGTACGTGCCTTATCTAGGTTCCTTTCACGAGGGAACACGCAATTAAGAAATTCTCCGTTCTTGTCGAGAGATGGAACAGGCACGAAAACTTTGAGCGGCGAAACTCGCCGCTCAAAGCGAGGAGGAGAACCTCCTCGCCTCGGCTACGCCAATGTAATTCGGTCGTCGCGGTAGAAACATTTAACCGCGCTCAAAATCCACCTCGTGCATTTTTTTCCTCCGTTTCGTTTCGCCTCGTCTCGCTCGCAGGCCGAGAATCGCATTTAATCCTCCGCGGGATTGCATCGAGCTACGCGCTTGGATTAATTTACTTCCTTCGTCGCTAACTGCTTCATCTTGAAATTTATTATATTCGCGATGACGATGGTCGAGAGATATCTCTTCTTCTTTTTCATATTCTCCGCGCGTATCGATCCGATCCACCCTGGCTCGCATTGGCTGGACAATTTTTTCACGGACTGAATCATTCATAGTTGAAACACTTTGAAGCATCCTCCCATCCGACGTTCCAATTTACGCTCCCTCCCCCATTTTTCCATATCCTACGTTACGAGTTCGCGGCGCAACTCCTTTCATTACGCGACGAGGCAAATAAATCAAACGAGTTTGATTCTCTCGTCTCGATGCAAGCTGGTTCTCACCAGAAATTCGAACGAGTCGAGCAACTTGAAGGTCTCGTGACTGCGTTAGCGTTTTCGCGATTCGAAGCCGAAGGATGTTAAATAGTCGAGCGTGTCGAGTAGAAAGTACAGGCGATTTTTCTTCCGTAATCGTAGGAATCGAACAGAGCCGTGCGAGATAGGTTGTTGGTGGCCAACACGCCAACGAAATGGCCAGGATCGTCGATCCCTCTCTCCCGGATTTTTCCCTATCGATCGTCCGTACCGAGTCAGCGGCAAAGTTACTCGATCGGTCAGCATCTGAAATACCTGAGGAACATCACGATCAAAATTCATCCGTGCCTCACAAATCGCCACACCAACCACCAAGCACTTTGTTGTCCCTGCAGTCTGCAATCCCTGCTTCTCCTCAGCAAGCTTGCGAGATGTCGCGAAGGAGAAAATCAAAAAGAAACTGCGAAACGGGAAACGAGATGGGCCGTCGGTATCGATCGAAGGTCGCAATTATTTGCACGACTGAAAGTAAGTTTCAAGGATTTCGCTTCTTTTCCCCCTCCCCCACTCTTTCTCTCTCTCTCTCTCTCTCTCTCTCTCTCTCTTCTCTTTCTCCTTCTTCTTTTCTTCTCTTTTTCTTCTACCAGCTAGCTTCCATCGTTTTCTCTCTTCCACCCTTTTGTTCGCTAATTGAGCGGCGACCTTCGGCCGAGCTTACGACGCCGAGCGGTACTCTTTTTTCCTCTTTTTTTTTCTTTCTTTCTTTCTTTCTTTCTTTCTTTCTTTCCTTCCTGACGCGTAATCTCTGTGCACAAGTCGATGTGAACGCTTTCGCGGAGCACTTGCATTTCTCGTGTGACTGTGCGCCGCTTGCGAAATCGCGAATCATCATCAACAAAACTCGATTACTCGATTGTCGTTACTGTGATTGTAACTGGGTGTTTCTTGCTTGCAGCACCAGAGCGCCGCCCAGGCATTGGTGAGTCGCATGTCTCTATCTCTTTTTTTTTCCTCTCTATTTCTCTATCTCTACGCTCTCTATTTTATATTTATTATCCCCCCTGCGTCTCTCATTCACCACCGTTGACAAGATTTTCTACACACAATGGTCGTCTGGCCAGCTGAACTTACGCCCAAAGATTCTCTTGTTGCTCTGAAAAAAGACGAAGAAAAACCGAGTCAGATCTTCGCGATCTCCAGAGGGAGAGAGCGAATGAGAGTGTGTGAAAGAGAGTCTTTTTGGCGAAAGTTGAGCAGCCGAGGACACGTCGACACGATATGCATGATTCTCTCTGTGTTCTCGTATTTTGCCACGTCATGTGCCTTTGATCGATGTATTTATTTGTGACAGCGTCAAAACTGAACCGGATGTTCCAGAAGTCGCGCAGACCACCACCTCCTCCCCTCCCTCCGTCGTATCCTTCATGATTCAAGGGATGCGCGACTTTCGGACTGAGATTCCACGTTCGATCAACTCATCGAGGACCAACGTTGCATTAACCTGACGTTTCGATTCTTTTCAGCCAAATTATTATTATTATTATTATTTTTTTAACATCAAGACTGTGAAACGAGATTTCGAGAACTTAGCATTTTTTCTCGTCGTTGTGTCTTCACTTGAAGTCTAAAGTTTTTATAAATTTTACAAATCCTCGTTTGTCCCTTGTGTTTTCAATCTGATCTGTCTCTTGGTGTCTAAGTGACACAATGGTGAAAATGAAGGGATAAATAGTTGCAAATAGTTGTAAATTTGCAAATTCTTTCATTAAGAAATAAATTAAGTTTCTTACGCATTATAAAAAAAAAAAAAAAAAAAAATGTGTCGAATTGATACAAGGATCGGACGAGGATTAAAAAAAGTCGAGTTAATTTATACTTATTAATAGTGATATATCAACGTCTTGTTTTAATTATCTACGTAACTGTTCATTATTCGAAAAAATGCTAGAAACGAAACTCGTTCAGTTTCCAGAGTGGGCGTCTTGTGATCACTAAATTTGTCGGAGGAGCTTTCGAGACCTTCTCTAACAATAAAAGATCATCTCCACTAAGAAACTGAGATCATATTAAATGAGATGAAACGAAACGAAATGAAATGGAATCATACAATTCCCTAATTGATACTGACATTTGGAAGATATTTTAACTTTAATTTTATAAAACCTACTGCATGAAAGACAAGAACAGTACAAATATCAATTCCTGTTTTCTCTCTCATCTTTCACACGACGGATTCTACAAAAACAAAATTAAGATTAGAATATTTTCAAAAATAATAGTTTTTTCGACAATGCATAAAAAACTATACGTTCCCATTTGAAAAAGTCCATCTAGATAATCTGTTAGTCATCGAAACGGATTAGTTTAAGTTTCATTTCGTGCATAGTTAATATAATTAAAATGGGACATTTTCCATGTTTGTAACATTTGTAATGTAGCATTTATAGTATTACGGCTAATCGACGCTCGGTCCCTGATGAGTTGAGTGACATCATATCAACGATTCGAGGGATGAAAATGAAAATACCGGCGAGAATGAAGCCATATCGCTTAAATCACGCGAGAGAAGAAACGCAATTTTCGCCATCGTAGAAACAACGTGGGCAACACAAAAGGGTACAAGATAAAGGTCTGTTGACCCACGTGCGCGATTCTGGTGCGCGGCCTCATTGTCACCTTCGACTTTAGCCGCTGCAGTTTCTGATCTATCTCTCTTTCATCAAGTACCCTTGGTCGGTTCGGGATGCACCGATGCAGCCAGGTCGCTCCGCGCATGAAAAGTGGCAGCTGCGACAAAAAAAGAATCGTTTATCCACGCCCTCAACCCCGTTTCCGCATAATAGATACGTAGACACGTACACGTACACACGCGCAACATCCAATCACCGACAGAGACAGTTCACACCGTCCGATACACCAGTGAACACACAAAGAGAGAGAGAGAGAGAGAAAGAGAGAGCAAGAAGAGAAAAGAAAAGGGAAAAGAGGAAGAAGAAAAAAAAAAAAAAGGAAAAGAGAAAGAGAAATTGCTTCGATCGCATCGAAGTTGCGAAAAGAGTGCACGTGCGCGCGAGTCCCTCCATCTCCCCACATGTTCGATAACAATCCATCGTAACTGCGGTAAGTACTTTACGTACGATTCGAAAGCACTTTGGACACGCGCGACGCAATCGTGTGCATGTACGTACATGCGTGCACTGTTTCTCGCGTAGTTGTATCGTTGAAAAAAAAAAAAAGTAACGAGACACACTGATACCAGGATTTTCGCGCGTTTGCTTAGCAAATCACCAGGATCACGTTTGATACACACCGGGTATGTATCCTCCGACCGCGATCGATACCCGCGAATCGAGACGCTCGCGATGGAAAATAGCAATCACACGTAGCTTCTGAAAGTCTGATCATCCGACTGAATTAATCAATATCGGACGGGCGGCTTTCCCGCCCCTCGGCCCCGCTTTTGCAATTCTATCAGCACGACGATCAACGTTGTTTTGAGGGAATGTCAATGATTCACGAGGGCTCGGCCGAGCCGCCGCCGAGTAACCAGATTACTTTCCCGGACGTCTAATTGTCTATGCTGTGATCGATGAAACATTCCGGGTAAACGTCGGTAGGGACGTCTTCCACGAACGACTCGCGATTTCGATTAGACCCACGTATCGACTCGCGAGATGAGACGGTCGCGGATCCCTCTCTCGAAGAAAGCAGCCATTCGATAACGTCTGTGAGAACCCAGCCGAGACTTGTTGTCCTTTATCGCATATATCCTATATGAGAAAAGTTGCGGCGAGTGATTTTCTATGGCGGGGCGAACTGGGTCGGAAGTAAAAGTTGTGTAATTGCCGGTCCATCGGTTCCGATGTAGCCAATTCCTAGCGAGAAGCGGTGAGAAAGAGGGAGGGAGATCTTTCGGCAAGAACTAGAGAGAGAGAGAGAGAGAGAGAGAGAGAGAGAGAGAGAGAGAGAGAGAGAGAGAGAGAGAGAGAGATTGCAGGGATAGTGGTGCCAGTTTCGCAGAGCAAAGTAGTCGTAGGAAGTGCGGTAGTTTTGGTTCTCGAGTGGCTCTCTTGAATCTAAATAACGGTCACTAGCTGATCGCCATAAACCCTATTATCGCAGCTCGCTGAGGACACCCTGTATACAGAGGGAACGACGAACATTTTAATCGGATTCAATTCGAAACATTCCCAGGCTTTTTCGTCGCCTAGATTCTTCGAATCCCCCGAAGCTTAGCGAGTCATTGATGCAGGTCAGGAAGGACAGCTACTCGCTCTTTTTTCCTCCCCCTCGGTTCTCATCCGCCGCGTCGAGAGGTCGAGCCGAGAGAAGAAGTTTTCTAGCCTCTCTGGAGCTCGACTCGCCAGGTCTTTTAATTTCTCTTAATCTCGCTCGATCGTCTGTTCCTCGAGACCTTTTCCGAGCTTCGATCGCATCTTTTTTTCCTTTTTTTTTTTATTTTATAAAGTCGTTCGAGCATCGTGAGACTTTCTTAATGTCTGTCGTCGTCTCGTTGTTTCTCAATTTCACGTCGATTTCTGTAACAGTAACTCCTTTGCTGGTAAATTGAATAATTATAAATAGCACGAATGTTTCTAATATTTGTTCTCTATCTTGAGAATGTTCGTTTGCTTGGTAATGTTATTACCAGTATGCAGATTCTTATGCAAATTCATATTTTCTGGAATGCAATTTGAAAGATCGAACTCGCGCAGAGATGCATTTTATCGATTAAATGTTATATACTTTGAATATATTTCGTATGTTCTTTCGCATTGATCTCATGTACTCATGTATCTCATGTATTTTTGCACTTTCAAATTTTTCACGATTGCATAAAAACCTAGAGTCTTGTTATTTCTAATATTTGAAATGAATATTAGATTACGAATTTTTCAGAAATTTATAGAATGCATTAACATATACTACAATATATTTTAAAATAAAATATTCGTATCTAATGTTTGATAAGTAAAGTTTGATAATAAAGTTTTGAAATTATATTAAAAATATGGATTTATTTAAAATTACATTTGAAATGTGAATTTGGATAAATATTCATAACATAATTATTGCTAGACGGCGGATTTTCATGCATTTATGGAAAATTTGGAAGTGCATGATTGCACAAAATGCATATAAAACAAAAAAGATCGATAAAAATGTCGAAAGTATAGTGCTTTCTGCAATATTCGACTCGTATAACAAAACAGTAGTTTACTCAGAATTGAAAATATGAATTCTCGGTTTAGTTAGTACATCTTTCATGTATTCTGATGCCTGATTTTTTAAATCTGACGAGCATTTTTCCAACACGGACGTTTGAAACTTTATCAAAATCAGATACGAACCTCTGTCGCTGAACTCGAGAATTTCTTTGGATCCTTTCATCGAAGGATCGAAAAAGATGACGTCCCGCCACGTTTCGATCACAGTGTCGCAATTCAACATTTGGCCATACATTAATTGCAATTTATAATATACCACCGGCTATGCGGGCCGCATCGATATTTATTGCGTCGTAAACGACTGCGACCGTTCTCTGTTTATCGAGGCGGAGAAGTTGTCAATTATAGACCGCAATATTATTCAACGCGGGTAAAAGTTTCGATCGTCATGCCGACAAGCCTTCGCTTTTGTTCGTTGCATTTTCCGATTCGCCTCGGCCCTGCGGGGGATAAAAACCGCAAACCCCGTGCGCCCGTTCGATAACTTTTCTTTTTTTTTTTTCTGTTGTCACGTCGCGTTCCACGTGACGTCGGTTGTTCGTTTGTTCGTTTGTTCGTCGTTCACGTACGCAAAGCCTCGCCCATAAATCTCGCGGTTTAACGCTCCGAGTGAGCAGTTGGAAAATTGGGCGACGTCTACGGCCAATACGGGGAATGGTATCAAGGCGAATACCAGTCGAGTGGCGGACTCTCGATTATACAACGACACTAGCTTCTGCGAGTGAAAGCGCGGAGAGAGACGTCGAAGACG